GAGACAATGGGAGAATCGTTGTCTCTCGGGGCGTCCCAGGGATGCTATTCTTTACGAGCACTTCAACGTTCTGAGAAGTTGGAAAAAAAAAGAAAAAAAAAAGGAAAAAACCCTGAAGAAAATAAAGTCCACGGATATTGCGAGTCTACGGAGGTGTCGAGAGACACTCCCGTATACGTGGGAAACCCGTGTAGCATTGGGCAATACCAATGCCACTTTAACATTTATGAAAAAATTATTTATCACTAATAAATCCGCACTTTTTACATCCACCGAGACCTCGCAAAGCGGCTAAAAAATCTAATCTTTCCAATTTCACCAACACGAATCACTCATCCATAAAAATACCCAAATACCCAAGTCTTGTGATAAACAAATTTTCCTAAACGATTTGTATAACTTGTTGAATAAAAAATAATTAACATCTCAAAGTTTGCGACAGCCGGAAAGACGGAGAAAAAAGAAAGAAAGAAAAAAAAAATAATTAGTAAACTAATTTGCGGGAGCAGCCCTCGGCAAACGAATTACAGTCAACCATTCAACATTTCTTTTTCTTTTTGGATTATTAGGTTTTTTTTTTTTTCATGCAGCAACAAATATCGATTGTCGTACTGCGACAAGGAGCCCTGGGGTTGGCACTGGTTGAGTCAGGGGTTTCCCCCTCAGTGCCATTTCCACCAACCGAGCACGGGTTGAAGATCAAATTGGTCCCCCCTTTCATCCCCTAAAACCACCCACTCCCTATCATCCATTGAATTGTCACCGGTGCTCAATTCCAATAGCCAGTAATGCGATTGGAGTGATAATGAACGACTATGGAGCCATACGGCGGATTTGCCAAAACCGATCAATTTTCCACCCTCTCTACCACCCCACCCTCCCACCGCCCCTTTTCATTCAACTTGTTTCGATTAATACCCTCGCTCTTCGTCACTGACAGATTCAATTCAAACGGTGGAAGATGGAGTAATAAAATAATTGGCCATTGCGTCACCCGAGAAAGAAATTGAGGAAAAGAAAAAAAAAAGAACGAGATGAAAATCGATGCATTAAAGTAACCGTTGATAATAACCGTAGCAAAGAAAAAATTAATCGAGAAGCCATTCACTGATAAAAAGAGAAAAACCTAACAGTCTCATAATGAAAACGATTATGAAAATAACTGGAGATCGAAATCACGAGGCGTAATTTTCAACTTGACCCCCGCGGGATCAATTGAAAATAGAAATAATTCTTTTCGAGAGTAATGATGTACTCGAATGTAAACAGAAATCCAGACCTTCGTGATTAACACCGGAAGCACGTGGAGTGGAGAAATACCGGCTCCTGTGATGTACAATTATTTCAATTATTCATTTATTTTTTCATCCTTTGCTCGGGCCAAACCGATCGACAACACCTGTTATTTATTGCACCCCTTGTTTATCAATTTTCTTTATTTTCGGTGGTTGAGAATGATGAATAAAAGAGAGTCCAAAGAGAGATGTTTGATACACGCGAGGCGGATGCTGTATACACGAACGGTTCAATAAATATCACATGATAATTACCGATAACCGGTGATTATTATCAGAGAGAGACTGTCATTCCCGTGAAATAAAAAATTGTTGCCTCTTTTGTAACCTTGAATGATCCTGAAAGCGAGAACGAGGTCTTGATCATTTTTATTCCCATTTTTTTTTAACAACAATGGGTCCTTTTAAAAACAGAATAAACGTGGATATTACGTATTGCGCAAATGCGGTACAGCATTTATTGACTCAAATCGGTCACGTAGAATCACAAGATGCAATCACCATTGCCGATCAATAAACAATGTTTCGAGAAAAAAAAAAACTCTAATAATTATTATTTCACCACTTTTTTTCCCTCAATCAAGTGAGATAGATAATATCCATCGGTCGTAAATTCTCATTTAGTACTTTCTTTTTTTAACCTGAGTAATGAATGGGTTTGCGTAATTATTTGCGAGAAGTGGTCGTTGAAATCATTTAACGCACAAGTTGCAATTTTTTTTGTTTCTTCCCAGAATCATTTAGTGGTGAAATTGTTATGAATCTCTAGATCCATTCATTATCAAAAACAATTAAATAACAAATACCGAATAATAACACTTGCATCACATCTCATCACTTCCCCCTTTGAGAAATCCATTCAATAAGTTAAAAAAAGAAATACAATAGTTATGTGCCAATAGTTTAAACCTATCGCTTTCCAACCGACGTAGCTTCACCTCAGTCTCAAAGTTTGCGAAACCATCCCAATAAACTCCTTTTATTTCCAATTCCCTAACACCACCTGCCCCCTGAATTCCCAAATGCCCCGAGGAATAATCCAATTTTTTAAAAATTCGCGAATAAATGAAAAAAAACTCCAAGCATCCATGCGCCCTGATAATCGCGCAAGCGAGACCAGCGCGCGTTAAAATCCCCAAAAAATTTAAACAACCCAATCTCCAAAACAATCCACCAAAACAACCAAAAGACTCACCATGCAGGCAATTGTCCCTCCACCACTGTCTCGAATCCTTGTAAAACCAATGCGATCCAACAGTCCACAAAAACCAAATCAAAATCAGTTTCAAAAAGCACGGTACAACGATGAAAAAAATAAAACCCAAAACTCGTCCCCCACGTACTCCGGAATTAAAAAAAAAAAAAAAAATCACTCCCAATTAAATCCTCACGTTGATGCACGCAAATACTCCGGAACTCCCGGAGCAAACGCTATAAATCTCCGATAATTCTTTTACCCACGACACATGAAAAAACGAAAAAACTAAAAAATTGAGAAAGACAGAAAAAGGAGGGAGGCTTGTGAAAAAAAGAGGCGAACAGAAAATGCTCAAAAACTGATGATCACAGACGACAGGACCGTGCGGCGCGCGGGTTCAGCGGCCGACTGAAACACTGAAAGGATGCAAGTTGCCTCGGTGGAGGTTTAGACCGTCCGCCATGGGTTTACCGTGGACCCACGTTCCCCTCGTGGTGCGCACATAAGCTCCCCCCCCCCCCCTCTCGCGCCGTCAAATGGAACCCCCTCGCTCCCCGATGCCCACCACCAAACGGAACCCCCTCGCTCCTCGCTCCCCTCCGGAGGAATGGGAACCCCCTCCACCACCCACCCTAACCCCTCCCCCCGCCCCTCCAACTCGACGATCAGACAAAGCCGTTGCGCGCGCATGCACTCCATACACACGCACAAACACCAGGAGAGATATTTTTTTTTATTTATTTTTTTTTATTATTATTTTCCCTTCGCTCGCACGGGTTTAGCCTCCCACCGGCAAAGCGCCATCATCGCCACCAACAAAACCCCCGGGTTTATATGCACTCGTGTCGTACTGTCGCCCCGACCCTCTGTCAAAAACAAAAAAGAGAGAGAGGGTAGGGAAAAAATCCTCCACTTGGTATCTCTTTACTCCCGGGGCATTCCCTGACTCTCCTTTTTGTTTTGTGGCTTTTTTTCGCAAACCCTCGGGTTGGGATGGAGTGTTTACATGGGGTAGGAACCTCTACAGGGGGTGTCATTGTACCGGGGGTTAAGGAGAGGATTAATGATGGATTAGGCTGTCTTCGCGGGGGATTTCAGCGGCATTGTTTCAGACAAGTTTTTTTTTTAGTTATCATGGAGAAAAGGATGAGATAAAGATTTTTAAAGATTTTTTCTTTCGAATAGGCGGGTTGTACTAAAGGGGTGGGAAAAATTTATCGTTTTTGAGATAGTGATATAGATTCGACGGTGAAATTGAAATAAAAGTCAGCCAATTCGAAGCTTCCGATTTACAGCTATTGAGAATTCTAGTTTCCACTTCTGGAAAAGTTTGAGTGTTTATTTATTGGGAGTTTGATCGGTCCATCAAGAGTAAATCGACATTTTGAGCTAGTTCAACTCGATCCAATGACACTGCACCGATAACTTGACGGTGCCATCATTTTTCCGCCTCGAGTCATAAACTACCGACTTGCAATCGTAAAAACGTAATAGTTCTGACAGGATATGGATATAAAAATGATATTCGTGGGTTCGAAGTATCAATAGATGACGCTGGGATTTTTTCTTTCCCCTTCTAATGTTTTTCAAACCAGCATCTCTAAAAATTACCCCAATCCACATTTATAGATCCATAAACTGACTGAAATCCTATCCTTTGTTCACAAGAATAAAAAATAAATCCGTGGAAATGTTGCATTCGCCCGACGTCTTAAACAACTTTAACAACTAATGCCAAAAAATTATTTACACCCCATCTATTCCGACTAGAATCCGTAACTTTATTTTGACCTATTGCTTTCCCACCAGTTCCTCATCAGGTATATTTTTCCCTCAGCATTGGATAGGAATCTAAACCAACAGGTTCTGCACAACTCAAGAAACTTTTCGGAATTCTTCGTGTGGAAAATACGAAAACGCTCGACACATGTTAGCTAAAATGTTGAGCACAAGCTGTCAGTGTATTGAAAAAATTTTACGACTCCACTCAAGATAGATATGCACCAAGGAAAAACTGAGAAAATAACTTCATCTCCGTTATCTCATTGAGTCACGATTTTTTTGGAAATTAGCAACTGATGTGCCAACAATTTCATCGTTGACAACAACAATTATTCATGAAAACTTTGAATAATGCTTCAACGGTTAGGAATGTGTTATATCCGGCAACTGGTGTCAAACGACTTCAATTTAGTGTACATCATATGCGTGGCAAGTACGGTGAGAAGTTGATTAATTGAGATAATAGCATGGAATAGACTGAGAGCGTTGAACGATGACGCAGGGGGTACTGCGTATAACTTATCCACTTTCCCCTAGTCTATTAGTCTTTATAATAATGTGAGATAGTTGAGAAATAATTACTCTATTAGGGAATCGCGGTGAAACGAGAATATCTTGATTAAACTCGGATTTCTGTTGAATATCTCAGACAACGATTGACTTCGCACTTTCATCTTCCCATTTTTTAACGCAAAAAAAATGAATAAATAAATTTAAAAACTCACCGGATCGTTGAGCCCCCGACGTTGACATCCTGGGGATCCCTCCTCCACTGGAGCAGGCTGTCAAGTCCTTGAAGATCTCGCACTAATCCTCAGGCACAATTCACAACACAACACTCGGCACTTGTCAAAAAACCACTCGCGGTAACTAAAATCCCTCCAGGAGTAGTTTACATCACTTCCTGGACATTGGATTGTCGGTAAAATAGAAAAACCCGATTAAAAAACCGCACTTGACCATCGGCGATGGTCACTGTCCGATCACCGACTCGACAACAAAAAAATATGTTACACTGTCGGTACAGGAGGTGATACCTCAGTCGAAGCTTCATCAGGTCTCCACAAATGCCTCCAGTCGATGCATGACCCGACAACAAAGGAATCAAGATGGCGTCGATTGCCTTGGCGATACTGCCAAACAAAGGAGAATTCCTGGCAGAGCCTTTTCATCGCCAAAAATGGAATAATTACATTAATAACCGATAAAAAATGCGAAATAAATGTATAATGAGGATTAGGGGTCACCTTCTGCACGTCGGGTCGACGATTTTCCGCCGTTTTCGGGAAAATTCATGGCGAAAATAGTGAAACACGTTCGCACAGCTCGACGTTCGGCGTATTGTGTGGGAATCAACATGGCGTCGGTCGCTGTGCGCCGTGATGGTGCGCAATGGAGAAGACTGCCCGAGTTGAAATAATCGATAAAAATTGATAAATACGTGATTGAAGGATAATTACGTAGCTAATCGATGAAATTTATATGTACTGAGATGTGGAGGCCACTCCTGGACACTAAGTCGATGATTTGGAATGGTTTTTCAGGATAATTAGAGGGAAAATGAGGAAAATACGGACGTACCAAACGACTCGTGCGATGAACAAAGGCTCAATATGGCGGCGATGGCGGTGCGCGAGGAGCTGCGTAGTGGGGGGAATTTTGAGTGGGGCATGCGCAAAAAATGGGAAAAATCCTGCGCAGTGATGACTATAAATATAAATGAATAAAACTATTGAACATTAATAATCATTAATTAAATTGGTCGGATTGCTAATTAGGAGGCTTCTGAGGATTGAAAATGAATGTTTTGTGATAGAAATATGAATTTGAAGATGAATAAAATGTTTATTCTTAGTGAGAGTTCTCGGATCGAATACCAGCTGTCACGACTAGTCTCCAGAACCATCATGGCAGTCAGGATTATCAATCCCTCGCCGGTTCACAAGTTGCGGGAACATAATGAAACAATTATTCCTGATTTTGTCGAGAGCCTCGAACAAATCAGGGACTTTTCTCTCACCTGTTCAGCACACGGTTCGTAATTTATCCTCTGGGTTCACCTCGAGACATGACGGAAGTTCTGTTCGCAATGGAGCACCGGCTGTGTTGTTCCATAAAAATTATCAGAGGAGCTGCGAGAGAATGTTTTTCACGTCTCGGGCTCTAGGGAAAGTCAAGCAAAAGGGGGACAAGAAAAGAATGGGAAAACCTCAAAATGTCGATATTAATGAACTCTCGGATTTCATCGATGTCAATAAATTCACGAGCCAGATGGATCATGCGGTTGAGGAGATGAAGAAGAATTTTGTGGTGTACGTCTCTCTCAGGTCTTCCATTGGGTCCATTGAACAGGTCGTTGTGAACTTCGAGGGGGAGGAATACATGCTCCAGGAACTCGTTCAGATATCCAGAAAGCCTAAAGTCGTTGTACTTAATGTCACGACCTTTCCTCAGGCCATTCCCCAGGTTCTAGAGGCTCTCACTAAAAGTGGACTCAATCTAAATCCTCAGCAGGATGGAACGACAATTTTTATTCCAATACCAAAGTAGGCGAGCTATTTTTCATAATTTTTCAACGATTGTTATAAAATTTTGGCACAAAAAAAATTGTTTCACACCTTAAATATTTCCAGGGTAACAAAAGAACACAGAGAAGGTCTTGCCAAGAGCGCGAAAGCTCTCTTCATAAAATGCCGGGATCATCTCAAAAACATGAAAATTAAAGAGATAAAAAACGTGAAGAAAATAGAATCAATTTCTGAAGACCAGGTGCGAAGGGTCCAGAACCAATTGGACATCATCTGTGAGAAATACGTGAAGGAAGCTGAAGACCTTCTCAACACCAAACAGAAAGAATTACTGCGAACTGAATAAATACGTTTATGCAATTTAATAATGACAAGGTAAAGGGTAACAAATTGATCTGTTCCCTAGTCAAGTGTTTGACAAATATCAAAAAACACAAAAATTTCCTCAGAATGTTTTGTCTAGTGTGCAATGAATACTACAAAAAAGACTCCAGAAAAATTTTGCTAGTTCTTTAAGATTCAGAGATATTCCTGGAATACTTCGCTTCTGAATTTAATTTTTTTGTACATAGTTTTTTTCTCTTTCGAATTTCACAAATATAAATAGCTTGAGCATTATTAGGACTTCTTCATGTCATTTCTGACGTACTCTAGGATTCCCTCACACAACTTTTGAGTTGCATTCCTCAGGGTTTCGGTCGGGTGAAACGCAATGCTGAGTCTCAGGAAATTTTTGGCTTCACCAGTGTTCGAAAATCTTACTCCTGGTATCGCAGTCACTCTATATTTTTCGTTGCACCATTTCATGAATTCTGCTGCATCGCAATCTGAATTCAGGAAATGGTTAATCAATTTTCAACCGCATGATTGAACTAGAGGGTCTAGAATTTATTAAAAAATTATTAACCTGGAGGGAGGGTGATCCAAATAAAATATCCACCCTCTGGCTTATCATAACTGCAACATCGAGGGAGATACCGATTCAATATTTCACAAACGGCTGCTAGACGTTCCTAAATCAAAAAAATTAAGAAAACAATTGATGATAATAAATTTAAAATCACGGATAACATCAAATGTGTCACGTACTGCGTAAGTCTTCTTGAGTAAATCCAAGTACTCATCTGCATATTTAAGTTCTAAAAGACTTGTGATAACTCCAGACACATAATGATTCACTGCTCCTCCACTCAGAAGAATTCCTCTGAAAAAAAACTAAAAACTCCGAATTCTCTCTGATAAACTTGGATTAACGAAAGTTTCTGGGCTTACGAGAGTCGCAGAATTTTAATTACTCGAGGAGGCCCTTCGATCCACCCGAGACGAATTGCTGGCGACAGAATTTTAGAAAATGATCCGTTGGATATAACATTGCCACCTTTGTACTCTTCATCATCTGGGGAATCGTAAGCTAGTAATCTCCTGGGTGGAGAGCCTTCGTTGTAGTGGAGAAGATTGTAAACATCGTCACAGGCAATTACGACGGAATGTCTTCTAGCTATTTCAATTAATTTTCTGCATTTATCTGCGAAGAAAAATATTAATCACTCGCACTGATTTCGCTGAAAGACTTCAGATCATAATAAATACGAATATAACTCTTACTTTCCGGTAGAACCATTCCCGTAGGATTATGATAAGTGGGAATCGTATAAAACATCCCCCAGAAGATCTTCTGATCATTCAGATAATAATCGTTTCTTCTCTTCTCCTCTACAACGATTTTCTCGAACGCCTCGATATCCACGGTTTTATCCTTCATCGGAACTGAAAAAAATAACAGAATTTTTTTATCGTTCTTGAATCCAATGGCAATACTCTAGAGATAAAAATAATGACCTGTAACGATTCTTATGAGGGGAAACTGTCGAAAGGCGTCGAGGGCTATCATATAAGTAACTTCTTCAACGAATATAACTCCATTCGGTGATAAAATTGTTGTCAATATTAATTGCAGCCCATGAGTTGCGCCACAAGTCAACACTAGATTTTCTCTCTTGACAGGAATGTCTCCATACCGCCGAGTTAGGAATTCAGATAGTTGCTCTCTGCATTCCCACAAACCTGCGGTTATCCCGTACTGGTAGAGATAATGCATTCCCTCTTTTTCCTCTTCTGTCTGGGGTCATGAATTCAGTAGTAAAATTGTAAAGCGAGATAAATCCAATTTAACATTTCTATTAAACTACAATTAATCTGAGAATGCAGTGGTCTGAGGAAAAAATATCAAAATAGCGTTTTTATAGGAAATTTTATCAGCTGTAAAAAACGTCCTTTAGTATTTCCACGTGGCATCCATCGCTTTGGAGATAAATCAATAATTATGGAACATTGTAAATTTATCCCATTTCACTACTCAATTATTCAATTGTATTATTTACCGCTCGGTGTTCAGTGGCTTTTAACAGAATTTTCCCGCAATTCTTGAGCAGGTCAGGGCCTGGCGCTCCTACTGATAAATTAATTACGTCTTTTTTATAAACATTGAATGACGTATTCCCGTCGAATAAGTGGCGAAAGTGCGGATCATCCACTTTGTTGTTCTCCGTCATTTTATCTTTTCTATAAATTTAATTATTATAAGAAATAATTTATTAACTTTGTTCTGATGATAGAGGATATAAAAACACTGGGGGTTGTGAAAAGGAGAAAATAAAACGCGAGTATTTTTACCGGAAGTCCAGAAGGAGTGATGTAAGCAGATTATTCACGTGAATCGTTTAAAATTCGGTTTGCTCGTCTCGATTGAAGAATGACGATGGATAAACTGCGTAGTATGACGCTTCAAACACGACTGACTTGTCTGCAGCCAACATTGACTCACACATAGTAGATATACATCACATATACGTAAAATCGACAGTGAAGTGATAAAGAGATAAGTCGATTTTACCTGTTAATCTCGTGTGATCTGCAGAATGATTTAGGAAGAAAGGACTATTTTTTGTGCTGGAGAAAATGTAAATTTTAATTCCCAAATTATCGGTATCCGAGTTATTTCAAATTTTATTTATTTGCTGCACTCACGATACATATGTACATTTTTTTGAATGTAATTTTTTAATGAATTTTCGTTGTTACGTTTATTTATTGTACGATAATTACAAAATCGTTGGTCTTATCCTAGAATTTCTGTGGTTTAGAACCATTTGTTTTTAGAATAAGTTAATCTCATGTAAATAGTTGATTTATTTTGTAACTCGATTGTGTAAAAGAATCGAAAATGTTTTCGTTGGGGATAAAATTGGCGACAATTTCGTTGGTAACAGTAAGTTATTTGTACGCTGACAGTTACGAATGATTTTCTTAACAATAAATTAATACTAATATTTAAAAACGATTGCCTCAAATTGGAGCTTAAAAATCTCTTTAAGTTATAACACTGTTCCTCTTCCATGTTTTTAATTTTGTTCCTCGCTGGAAGAAAAATTCTAATTCTATCACAGTCAGCGGTAAACCGCATTTATACATTTCTCTCGACATAATTATGCGGTAAAAATCTGTCCAATGAATTATCGCATAACGATTTACAAAAGGCGGAAGTGAAAAATACGCAAAACGTCCTCCCCCTCCAAAACTAAAATCACTCCAATATTTTCCCTTCAATTTCCATTTAGAATAATCAAGAAAACTTCATAAAATTCTAACAGAATTACGAATTAATAACTAAAATTGTTCTTCGTATTTTTTATGTACAAGCCACAGTGTAATGGCACCTTAAGAATCCAATCACCTCTTTATCCTCTCATTGCACGAAAGTTCCAGTTGTCACGCCCTAAGTACTTCGAACAATTAGGAAATAACTTTGATTTATTAAACAGTTGTTTCATTCTTCTTCAGAGGCTGAAGCTCACGTTCCAGACGATCGAAATCGTTATAGTACTCGTGATCAGACTCTTCCTCGGAGTTTCTCTGCCTCTGCGCTGCAAATTCTGAATTCGCGACGACTTTATCGAGATCAGGCGTTAAACCCCCAGGGGATTGAGGGATCTCATTGTCCTGGGACATGTACTCTGGGTTGTCCAGGGATGTTTTATCTGGAATTCTGAGGAACTCCAGATTGCGGTAGCTGTTTTGCACTCTCTTTGGTTCTAAATCTGCGAAAAGTAATAATTATTTCGTAACAATTCAGAAATTCGAATGAACTCATAGATTTTGGATATTTCTATTGATCGTATTGGGATTTACCAGCGGATTGATTATCACCGACGAGATCCATGTACTGCGAGGTATTATTGCGTTTAGGTGAAGGCATGAGATAATCGTTTTCGTCTAGGGGGAGATCAAGCTTGATGCTGCCTAATTGGGCTTGTTGATAGGTCGGATCGAGTTCTATGGAGAAACAATCGTCTGTTGTATCGCCGTCTAGAATATAAATTGTGAGAATAGAAGAAAAAGAAATTTTTTGTGGACAAGAAAAAGAGCAAAAGAATTTTATAGATGAGGGATGATTGTGTTACCTTTGGCACTAGTCGTCTTCAGAGGATCCGAAAAGTACCTGGAGCTCTCCGAAGTGCTCTCGCCGCAGTGACCATTGAGATGAGTGTAATTGGAGCTCTGGCCTGAGCTGCTGGGGTCTTGAGAAGTGTCTCTACCACTCTCATGGGTTGTTCTGTACTTGAGCATTTCTCTGTCAAAATTCTGTTGATTTTGAGGAGTCGGAGAGTCCGTGGTTAATGGAGGAGTTCCATGTGGCCAGCAGGTTTTTCCTGGTGTGTTATGGGGAGATCCTGAGGTACTGGATGTCGAGGCTGCTGGATGCCTGGATGTAGGCTGGAGGTATTCGTCGGCTTCTAGGACAGTCTCCGGACTGTCCATGGCTGACGCCAGATTTCTGATCAACTCCTTCTGATCTTGAATGCTGTACGAAGGGAGTCTCATGTTGCTGTCGTCTTTGATGGCGAGGTACCTGCCAGGATCCCTCGACATTTTGCCGAAATTATCGGCGAGCTCTCTGAAACATGGCCTTGACTCGGTGTCCAGGAACCAACAGCTCACCATTATCATGTAGACGTCGATTGAACAGATTTTCGGTTGTGGCAGTCGGTCACCTTTCTCCAGGAGTTCTGGAACATTTCGGGCGGGTATTTGCTCGTAGGGTCGACCACCGTAGGTCAATATCTCCCAGATGGTGACACCGAATGCCCAGACGTCCGATTTGTGAGTGAACACCCGGTGCTGAATGCACTCGAGTGCCAGCCACTTAATGGGCATTTTTCCTCCAGCTGCCTTGTACTGATCCTCATTGATGTCCAGCAATTTAGCCAAACCAAAATCTGTTATTTTAACGCAACTTGGAGTTTGAACGAGAACGTTTCTTGCGGCGAGATCGCGATGTACGAGTCTCCGCTCTTCCAGATACGACATACCACGCGCTATTTGTGTACACCAATTGAGCATCGGTTTCGATCCAATTTTGTCCTTATAAGTGCGAACAAAATCAAGAAGACAGCCCAGTGGCATCAACTGAGTCACCAGCATCATCTGGGAGGTCATGCATACAGCGAGAAGTTGAAGTAAATTCGGATGATCAACACTAGCCATGATGTACGCCTCATCCAGAAATTCCTTGGACATATTGGCACCAGTGCTGTCATGAAGTACCTTGATGGCCACTGGAATCTTGACATTCTCACCCTCAGGTACCCAAACCCCTTTATACACATTGCCAAAAGCTCCATACCCAAGTATCCCACCCTTTCTCATCTCCTCCTCCTTAGTAATCCTCAACTTGGCAAGATTTGGCTTGACACCAGTCGGATGCAATGGCTCATTGTCATCCATCCCCGTCAGTGCCATCGTCATCTTCACCGTATTCTCTTTAGCCTTCGTCCTCAGTCTCCACTGCCACACAATTATAGCACTCACCACTAAAATCAACACCACGATAATTCCCACTCCCATCAAAACCGCAGGAGGTATTTCCTCCTGCACAAATGCAGAACCAGCCGCTGCAGCAGAGCAATAAGGCTCGCCCTCGTCAAAAAAAATCTTATGAGGATACTCCGGTGGACATGAACCAGTGCAATTGAATACTGTAGAATTATCACCAGGATCGCCATCCTCATAAATCCTCAAATTTCTGCACTCCCAGCACTGATTAGCCTCAGGCCCATAACAACTTCGACACTCAAAAGCACACGGTATACAAAGCTGTGTATCAGCCTCAACATAATGATCACCTGGACACTCGTCCTCGCAGTGTTCACCACGTTTGAATTTAACGCACTCCTGGCACGCCTGCTCATGCACCCCATATCCAGTGCACTTGTTACAACGTGGATGGCATTTTTTGCATGCACCAGTGCCAGCAAGTGCCTTAAGTGGTCCCAACTCCTGGGGATCAATCCACTCGTAGTAGTAACCATCTGGACACGGATCCTGCCTCTGCAAACACTCCCCAGGTACATCGTTATCAACTATAGCCTTTGCACAACTATTGCATCCCCCAAGCCCTATCTTATTCTCTGGCCCAGTGCATCCATCAATGCAATTACTATGGCAAGGCTGACATTCACCATTCTCCTCGTATTTCAAGGCCTGACAATGCGCCACGCAGTATCTCCCATCCCTAAAATGCTTGCAGGACGTGCAATGATCAGCAGCTGGACCCAGGCATGTCCCTTCGCACTCCTCATGGCAATGCTTGCAGATTTTATCACCAGCTCCGTAAATTCTGGAATAATTACATGAAAATCAATGACAAAGCGTAAAACGATTCACGGAAAAACGATATTTGAAAATTCTATTACTCTTACCCGGGTAATGCATTACAACTCTCAAGGCAAACATTTTCTAGTATAAAATTCTTGCAGGAGAGACATTGCGAGGGTCCAGGACCCCAGCATCCCTCATCAGAGCACTGGGCATCGCAGACTAATCCCGTTTTCACGCACTCAGAATCGTTTTTATTATTAGACAATAAATTTCCATATTCAACGGACTTTCGTATTCTCGTCCAGTTGATGCTCTGTGCATAGCAGAGCTCCTTGTTCTCTAAAATAGCGAAACACCCAGAAGATATTCTCTTGAGTGAGCTGAGACCAAGGGAAACTAATGAAGTTTTGACAATATAAAGAGCCGCGAAGTGCTCGGTAAGAGTTCTCCCATCGATTATCTCCAAATTCCTGAAGTAAGAGAGATTTTTGAAGTCCGGATGGGCGCCCTGAATATTCAGGTACCCAGTAATCTCTTTGAGGGTGCTGAAGACCTCCAGACGATCTGGATGCATTGGTCCGTATCTGGAGCCAAAGGTGAAGTCGGAGTTGATGCTCTGGAAGCCGATGAAGCTCTGATCGAGAATCGTAATGGAGCCCTCGATGATTGTGCAGTCTTTGAAGCTCTCGATGTTCCCAGAGTGGACTTTGTCGACACCCTGACAGGTCTTAGGGCAGGGACCATCGCAGGGCACGCACTCACCATTCTCAGCCTTTTTTTGTGGGGGACACGATCTGACACAGGCACCACTGTCCTTCAACAGGTGCTCTGGACACTTTCGCACGCAGGTAGCACCATATGCGTATTTTCCATTGGGATTTGTCTTCCAGAAGTAGTGGTCTTGGTCGTATACCTTGTAGCATTCACAGAAAGAAAAAATAATAAAATTAATTGCCCTTACCCTCTGTCTTTCAGTATTTTCTTTATTGATGAAGTCATAAGTTTCCGATTGAATTGAAATCGTTTGAGTTATCGAAATCGATATAAAAGGTTCAGAAAAGGTAAATCATTAATACCTGCATGGGTGGACACTCCTGTGTGCAAACACCATCATCGTAGAAATTTCTGCATGCGAGGCAGTCACTCTGTTTGGGACCAGTGCAACCACCAGCGCAAAAAAGGTGACAGCAGTCTCTGGGATTTGGACCGAAGCATCTGCCCTTCCAGCACTGAGGGGAGCAATTTATTTTCGAGAATTTCTGGCAATTCTCTGGTCCATCACCCCAACAACCCAGGGTACACGATTCATGGCACTTGGGACAGGATCTCTCAGGGCTCGTAAAGTTGTATACGCGTAAATATTTACCACCTGGTCCCGTTATTATCTCGTCCCAATTTATTGTCTTGACGTGACAGAGATTGTAATTATTGTACATTCCAACGCTACCATTCAGAATGTCCCTGAGTGCTGGCATCTCCAGATTCATCATATTACACAGCGTAACAAGTAGAGCAAATTCAACGTCGTGAATGTTAAGTTTGAAAAGCGTTCGTCCTCGGATTATCTGAAGCCTTGGGAGAACCACTTTGATGTCTACATGACTGATCAGCACGTATCCTGTTACTTCCCGGATATACTGCAGAAAACTCAGATCGAAATTGTGATTCTGTAGCCAGGCTAGCTCCAAATTACCGTCCACGTAAGTACAATTGGTGTATCTATCTCGAAGATTTCGATAATGATGCTGACGGTCTGATGGTACTGACATTCGTCCATTCGTCCCGATACAGACTGCAACAAAATAATTCATTCCAGTTTTTAATTTGCAGATTTATCTTTAGAATTATCCCTTCCATTCTTCATAAATTTATTTAACCCAGAACGTACCACTTCAGAGAAGAAAAGGGGAATCACTTGAATTAACTATTTAAAACTATATCTCTTCGAGATAAATTGATAATTAAGCAATAAATAAATGCAGAGGAAAAAGTGTCAATTAAATGGAGTCATGAGTTTTGTAATTATTTCGTTTATTAAAGTAACAGTCTATATTTACAACTCTTACCGAAAAATAAATTTGTTCAACATACAAGAGACATGATTTTGAGTATATCGTAACTATAAAATTTACAATCATCTATATATTTTCGAGAACACATATATTACAGGATATTCTTAAATTAGCAATTACATCGGTAATGCGTAAGGCAAATGTACAGTGATTACCCATGAAAAATTCAGTATAAAAATTGACGTATTGTCCTTTGTGTTTAAAAATGTTAAAAATCTGGAGAGCATGGCACTATCCAATTTTGTCACCAAAAAGATTCAATTGAAATTGTACTCCCCCTCCAAAAACATAAAAAATAAAATGGCATGGACACGCAATTTAAGTAGATTTTTTTCAACTCAATCGAGCTATTCTCATTGCAAACGACCTGAAAATTCCATTTTTCCTTAAGTCATGATTTTGTTTATCCTATCACAGTCAGCGGTGGCCCGCAAGAGGCTCTCTGTACAATTAATTCGTTGTAGAAACCTCTGTTACATCGATAACATAACCATTTCTATAAAATGCAATCTCCACTATTAAAAATCATTAAAATCGTCTGAATACTCCCCAAAAATGCAAGTGATCTACAATTGATCAATAAATTTCTTTATAAAAATCGTATTTACAAGCCACAGTTGCATGGCACATTAAGAAACACCGCGTTTCATTTTTGCACTAAAATTCATCAAAAATAATTTATCTACATTTTTGTTCGATTTAAGATTAATCACATTGGCGAGTTGTTTCGTCACTCCTAAGTACTTGAAAACTAGGACAAGACTATGAACAATTTATTAAACAGTTGTTTCATTTTTTCGCAGTGGCTTGAGTGGCTGGAGCTCTCGTTTCAGTCGATCGAAGTCATTGTAGTATTCGTGGTCAGACTCCTCTTCTGAACTCCTCTGTCTCACTGGCGAGCCAAATGCACCGTTGGTCAGAACTTTATCGAGATCAGGCGTTGGAATTCCTATTGTCTGGGGAGTCAGGGGGGGTTCGTCCTGAGACATGTACTCTGGGTTATCCAGCGATGTTTTCCCTGGAATCGTCAGGAACTCTGGGTACTTTCTGTAGCCATTGGGCACCTTCTTTGGCTCTGACTCTGAAATTTCGCGAGAATTTCCTTTAAAACATCAGTTATTTATTTATAAAATCATTTATTTAACCAGAAATTCATTGATTAGTTACCTGCGGACTTGGCATCGCTGATGAGATCCATGTATTGTGATACATTGGCAGGTAATTGAGGGGATGGCATCAAGTAGTCGTCCTCGTCCAGGGGAAGATCTAGCTTGAGATTGCCTATTTGTGCTTGTTGCTGAACTGGTACTATTTCAGGAGTGAAACAGTCGTCCGTTACGTCACAGTCTGTGGAGTGAATGATTAATTGTTATTTTATGATAATTAGTGGGTATTAATATTGGGTTTCTGGGGGGTGGTACTCACCTCTGACGCCAATCATCTTCAGGGGATCCGAGCAGTACCTGCGGCTTGAACCATCAGTGGTGCTGGCAGGTCTGCAGTGGCTGGTGGGACGTGAGTAATGAGGGTGTTGATTGGAATTGTTGGGCTCGGTAGATTGCTGACTTGCAACAGCATGTGTTGCATTGTACCTCAGGAGTTCTCTGTCCCAGTTCTGCTGGTTTTGAGGAGTAGGCGAATCCGTGGGGAGCGAGGGAATTCCATTGGGCCAGCAGGTTTTCAGGGGTGTGTTAGGGGGAGATCCCGATAAACTGGAGTTGGAGAGACCAGCAGGGAGCGGTGCTCGGGATTTGGGCTGGAGGTACTCGTCGATGTCGAGAAGGGCTTCTGGGCCGTCCATGGCTGATGCCAGGTTTCTGATCATCTCCTTCTCGTCTTGGGGAGTGTACGAGGGGAGTCTCATGTACATGTCCCCGGTGATGGCGAGGTACCGGCCAGGGTCTCTCGACATTTTTGCGAAATTATCGGAGAGCTCTTTGAAACTGGGCCTCGACTCGGCGTCTAGGAACCAACAGCTCACCATTATCATGTAGACGTCGATCGAGCAGATTTCCGGTTGCGGCAGCCTGTCACCTTTCTCCAGGAATTCTGGAACATTTCTGGCGGGAATTTGCTCGTAAGGTCGACCACCGTAGGTCAATATCTCCCAGATGGTGACACCGAATGCCCAGACGTCCGATTTGTGAGTGAACACCCGGTGCTGAATGCACTCGAGTGCCAGCCACTTGATGGGCATTTTTCCTCCAGCTGCCTTGTACTGATCCTCATTGATGTCCAGCAATTTAGCCAAACCAAAATCTGTTATTTTAACGCAACTTGGAGTTTGAACGAGAACGTTTCTTGCGGCGAGATCGCGATGTACGAGTCTCCGCTCTTCCAGATACGACATACCACGCGCTATTTGTGTACACCAATTGAGCATCGGTTTCGATCCAATTTTGTCCTTGTAAGCGCGAACAAAATCGAGAAGACAGCCCAGTGGCATCAACTGAGTCACCAGCATCATCTGAGAGGTCATGCATACAGCGAGAAGTTGAAGTAAATTTGGATGTTCAACACTAGCCATGATGTACGCCTCATCCAGAAATTCCTTGGACGTATTGGCACCAGTGCTGTCATGAAGTACCTTGATAGCCACTGGAATCTTGACATTCTCACCCTCAGGAACCCAAACCCCTTTATACACATTGCCAAAAGCCCCATACCCAAGTATTCCCCCCTTTCTCATCTCCTCCTCCTTAATAATCCTCAACTTGGCAAGATTCGGCTTGACACCAGTTGGACGCAGTGGCTCATTGTCATCAAGCCCAGTCAATGCCATCGTCATCTTCACCGTATTCTCTTTGGCTTTCGTCCTCAGTCTCCACTGCCACATAATTATAGCACTCACCCCCAAAATCACCGCCAAGATACTTCCCACACCCATAAGAATAGCTGGCTGTATCTCATTCTCCAACGGAAATCCAGGAATAGGAGCAGCAGAACAGTAGGGCTCACCCTCGTCCGGATAAACCTTGTGAGGATACTCAGCTGGGCATAAACCAGTGCAGTTAAAGGCAGTAGTATTATCCACAGGATGACCACTCGCATAAAGTCTCAAATTTCTGCAACCATAGCACTGATTTGGCTCAGGCCCATAACAACTTCGGCACTCAAAAGCACACGGTATACAAAGCTGTGTCGCAGCCTCAACATAATGATCAGCTGGACACTCGTCCTCGCAGTGTTCACCACGTTTGAATTTAACGCACTCCTGGCACGCCTGCTCATGCACCCCATATCCAGTACACTTTTTACAACGTGGGTGGCATTTTTTGCATACACCAGTGCCAGCAAGTGCCTTAAGTGGGCCCTGCTCCTGTGGATCAATCCACTCGTAGTAGTAGCCATCAGGACATGGATCACGCTTATGTAAACACTCCCCTGGTACATCACCATTTATTATGGCTTTCTCACAGCTTTTGCAGCCACCTGGTCCTATTTTATTCTCAGGCCCCGTACAACCACCCACACAAGTTGGATGACACGTTTTACATTGGCCATTCTGCTCGTACTTAGTGTCTTGACAGTGGGGCACACAGTATGGGCCATCTCGGAAGTGTTTGCACGATGTGCAGTGCTCAGCCCTCGGCCCAACACAGGTGCCTGCGCATTCCTCGTGACAGGGTTTGCACGTTTTGCTGTCAGCTTCATAAATTCTGAAGACAAAAACCAATTGATCTTTAATGCAAATCCGACACTCATCATTTCCTCATTAATTTTTCAGTAATAGGAAAATTAAGTTATAACACATGTTATTAAAATTTAATTTAGTGAGTAATTAAATGGAACTTACCCAGGTAGAGCAGTGCAATTTTCCAAACAAATATTTCCCAGTATAAAATTCATGCAGGAGAGGCACTGCGTGGGTCCAGGGCCCCAGCACCCCTCGTGAGAGCACTGCTTATCACAGATGAGGCCCTCCTTGATGCAGAGGGATTCATCTTTATTGTTCGACAAGACGCGGGTATGTTCCTGCGACTTTTTGATCTTCAGCCAATCGATACTCTGAGCATAGCACAGTTTCTTGTTCTCCAGGATGGCAATGGAGCCCGAGTAGACTTTCTTGAGGGACTGAAGCCCCAGGGACGTCAGAGAAGTCTTGATGATATAGAGGGAGGCGAAGTACTCCGTGAGGGTTCTGCCCCCAATCACCTCAAGGTTCCTGAAGTACGAGAGGTTTTTGAAGTTGGCGTGGTCCCCCTGGATGTTCAGGAAGCCTGTGATCTCCTTGAGGGTGCTGAAGACCTCCAGTCTGTCTGGATGCATGGGCGCGTATTTCTCACCAGTCGTGAAATTAGCGTAGAAGTTAACGAAACCTTTGAACGTCTGATCCAGAATTGTGATGGAGCCCTCGATGATTGTGCAGTCCTTGAAGCTGTCGATATTACCAGAGTGGACTTGGTCACCACCCTGACATGTCTTTGGACATGGTCCATCGCAGGGTACACACTCACCATTCTGTGCCTTCTTCTTTGGTGGACAGGACCTGACACATGCACCATTGTCCTTCAGCAGGTGAACTGGACATTTTCTCACGCACGTCGCACCATAAGCGTACTTTCCATCGGGATTTGGTTCCCAGGAGTACGTTGTCGGATTGTATCTATAATAAAAAAAAAAATTTTAGTTTAAAGAATGAGCATTAATAATCCAAGTAAGGTGGAGTTAAAATTTCATTCTCATCAGTGACAGATAAAACGTGGTGGGGAATGATTTT